GACTGGGCACACAGCAGGACTGCATACAGCTGCTGGCGGGGACTGGGCACGAAGCTGCTGGCGGGGACTGGGCACGCAGCGGACTGGGCACGTAGCTGCTGGCAGAGACTGGGCATGCAGCAGGACTGGGCACGCAGCAGCTGGCAGGGACCGGGCACGCAGAAGGACTAGGCACGCAGCAGGACCGGGCACGCAGCTGCTGGTTGGGACCGGGCACACAGCAGGACTGGGGATGCAGCAAGACAGGCATACAGCTGTTGGCGGAGACTGGGCACACAGCTGCTGGTGGGGAGTAGGCATGCAGCAGGGCCGGGCATGCAGCTGCTGGCGGGGACTGGGCACACAGCAGGACTGGGCATGCAGCAGGACTGGGCACGCAGCTGCAGGCAGGGACTGGGTATGCAGCAGGATTGGGCACACAGCAGGACTGGGCATTCAGCTGCTGGCGGGGACTGGGCACATCCAGCATCTGTCAGCAGGTCAGGAGTTCCTATACTCAACAGCCCCTGCGGTTCCCAAGTTTAAAAATGCACCAAGTTTATTGTAAAAAAGCAACAGAAAGCAGAACCATTGAAATTTATACAAATGAGCAAATACTTTATATTTTCATACTGGAAAGAAATAGAAAGAAGAATTATTTTTTTATTTGGGGAGGTGGCAAACATGGAAGTGGCAAAAGTCCCCCCTCAGCAAAAATGGTTGTGATTATTGAGAATAAAAGGCTTTGTGAGCAGGGTCTCTACCACAGAGACTATGTGCCACAGAGCTCTGGAGACACTGTGGTGAAATCAGTACCTTGAACTTGGTTGGGTGGGTGTCTGGGATTGTGTCTCTGTACAGACAGCTCCAGCAGCTTCCCATTGCTTCAGCAAACCAGCTGACACCTGTGAAAAGCCACAGCAATACTGAGAGATTGTCATCAGCTCACACATTAACTCTCATTTCACCAGTCTGGGCTTCACTGACCCCCACCTTCATTTCATAATACTGCACACAGACCTAACCAGACCCCTAATACGAAAATAGAACACCCTCTTAACACCAGAAAATGTTGTCCAGTTTTTCTGGAAAATTCTGTGTGAAAGCCTCTCCTTTACTTAAAAGAAAAAGCAAAAGAGGAAGAAAGAGATTTATTGAATGGTAGGTCCTACCCCACTCAACACACGCACACAAACTTCACTCACCCAGTCCAGGCCATCAGTGGGAGAGAATCCCGCTTCAATCCCAGAATCCTCTACTGGGCGTCATGGTGAACAGGAGCATATAGGTTCAAAGTGCATTTCCATGGTGAACAGGACTTCTTCTTACCTGTGAGCACAATAAAAGCATGCAAATTTAATTCCCCAACTCAATGGAAAAACAGAGATTTGGTGTCAGTAAATTAACTGCTTCGCCTGTGATTCTCCTGCCAAACCTGCCTTACTTTATTTTTTCCACTTTATTTAGAGAAAAATAAAATAAAAATAAATAAAAATAAAAGCTTTATAATCCAGAATAAAGTAACAGATGATATGATAAACTTAAATAATAAGGCTGTCTAGTAGCTTTATTCAAAGTCTTGCCATGGAGCTCATTCAGTTAGTTCTTCCTTGTTGATTTAATCAAGTTATCTTAATCCTAACAGTTCTAGAGATGGCCAGGAAAAAAATGCAAATTACAATTTTCAATATCCAACAATCACCGAGTAAAAAACTGAACTGGAAAAAAATGTTGTTGCTAATTTATTCATTAAACAATATTAAACATCCACAGCGAGTATGCACTGCCCTTCAACTTCTCTCCTCTACTACAGCAGAACTGGGGCCTTTTTTTTAACATTTGCATGCAGTTCTCTTTTCATTTAAGCACAGCCTCAAACTATTTCTACCTTTCCATTTACTGAACATTTTTCCACTTTGCTCAGTAAATAAACCCTTACCGAATCTCACACAGCTCCAGGAGAAACACTAGTTTGACATCGACAATCAATACAATTTAATGAGCCTGGACAGCTCTGCTCCTCCTGGAGTGTCCACTGTGGAATTCAGGCACAGTGCAGCAGGTACTGGGCTGCAGTTCAGTCTGAATACCGCTCAGTTACAGACACAGGCACAGCTCCACACAGAAATGCCCATTTAGAGCTGCAAGTTTCACAGGACTGTACCAAAAATAAGAATTTCAAAGTCCCACTGAGTCAGAGTCACTGCGTAACAGCCTGAGCTATTTCAGGCTCTCGGGGCAGGAACTCAAAGGCAAGCAGCCAAGCTCGACAGAAGGAAGAAACAGAGCCAATAGAAATTCCAAACACTGAAAAGGACGAAGCACCTGCAATAGATGCTCCCGGTTTTGTTTATGCATTTGGAATTTCTACAGACTCACTTTTCAATGTAAAACCATCTGGAATATTGAGAGCACAGAGAGTCAGTATTTTTTATAACTCGTTACACAAGCAGGGTGGACCAAACACCTGGCCTCAGAACCACAGGGCCTTCTGGTTCTCTAACAATACCTCATCTGACACAAATGATCTCACCATCTGGACGGGTGCCCCCATCACATCCAGCCCTTTAATGTTGAGAATTTAAGACCTAACCATAGCTCAAGATATAGGACCTATAACACATTCTCAATACACTGGAGTTTTCTCCACTGTTGTTAGTTTGACTCACAAGCTGACAGAGTCTTTGTGGAAAAAGAGACTAAGCATTTAGTGTGCATTTATAGTCAGACTTTACTTGTGAAGAAGTTCCACAGCCAAAAGCGTTTCTTCTTCTCTCTACTTTTCAATATGAAATTACCCTCCACACACTGACAAAGCTCCCCCCTATAGCTTCTATATATTAGACCTAAACTGTTGCCATTGTTATTTCACTAATAAAATCCTCAATTCACACACTGGAGAGATGTCATCCCTCCATATTTTGATAGCATAGGCTTCAGCCTTTGAACTTGGTCATTTCATTCAGCATGATATAATTCAGACCGATAAAGCCAGAGCAACCAAGGAGAACCTTCAATTTATGAAGTATTCATTCAATTATTTGGGGACACAATAGCAAATTTTAGATGTGCTTCAAAAAGTAAAACTGAAAATTACGCAATGTGTTTTTCCAGTTCACAACAATTATTAATGTTGTCCAGTACACTAATTAGTTCTAAATACAGAGATTTAAATAATGCATATATAAATAACAAAGCACAAACAACCTGAAGAAACAGCCCACACCTAAAGAAACCGAAACATTGTGTCTCTTTTCTTTACAGCATGGAATAAACCTTTACCTGTTCCTTTGCAGTCTACTTAAAAACAACCTCCTGCTGGGCTATTTAGATTAGCAATTCAAGGCATCACAAGTCTCACAGTTCTGAATGCTTGAAGAAGTATGACTAGGGAACAGAGTGAATCCAAGTGAAGGTGAACATGCAGGACCAGAGCAATATTCCTTAGACGAGGCAGAGGCACAGCATGTGCGGACAGCTCTGTCATACAATGTTAACCCATGTAAAAACGTCAGCAAGCTTTTTATCGTGAGACTTGTCTTATTTGGGTAATGTCTTATGCCTGATACAAGATTGTTTTTCAAAGCTTAATTCTGTCAGCTTTCAAACAAGATTTCATTCCAAACAAAAGCAATTCATCCCACAGTAATCTCTCCACCATAACAACAGCATTATTATAAGAGCATAAGCAAGGTTTCAAACAAGGGGAGGCCTATCGGCCCTGTAACCAACCTCATCAGATCTCTGAAGCCAAGCAAAGTGGGGCTAAGCCAGTCCTTGTCAGTCCTGGGATGAGACCTCTTGCAAGAACCAGGTTGATCAATGCTGATAGAAGAGCAGTAGGGGGCACTCTACCCTCTGCACCAGAATCTCCCAGTACGGTGCCTTGGGACCCTGTGCTGCACAAGTTGCTACTCCTCAAGTGAGGTCCCGACTATCTGTTCATTAAGAACAGGGTGTCCCCCTTAATTCACTGGGCAAATCAGGCCCAACCTCTCACTTCTCCACCCAATCTGCTGCACAGTGGGGCTCCCGGTGAAGAAAGGCTACTATGTCACCCAGGTGGATGAAGTGGGTCCCCTCCTATGGAAAAAGTGTGTTGGGATCCAATGAAATAGGACTCCAACTCAGAACATTAATGATAATATTGGTCTGAACTTCTGTATAATTTGAGCTCCTTTTAGAAGGCCACTGTCCCCAACTGCATGTTGATCTTTCAGCACGTGGGTGAGTTCATCCCTAACACAGTCTTTCGAATACTCGCAACGACTGTAAAAACTAAATTTGTCACAGGTCTGCTTACAATTCTCCACCGATACATCTCAGTCAATACTGTCACTTAAATGTTTCAACCCAGCACAAGCAGTACAGCCCAGTCCATATTGTGCTGTGTCCCACCACACACAGGAGATAAAACCGCTGACAAACCGACAGGAGGAAACCACAAGCCATCCGGACTGAGCGCAGAGAGCTGGTTCGGCAGGGACCTGTTCCGACATCATCGGCAGCTAACAATAACAAGTGGAGCTCATCGCAGCACAGCAATGTCTTTATCCCCCCAGCTGAATCAACCGGTGGAAGAACCGACTAATCGAAAAAGCACCTTTGTTGGCAGCGACTTTTTCCCGAGCCCATTTTATAAGGATGAATTTATGTTTCATAGCCAGCAAAGGATCGTGCTCCACAATACAATAAACACTACAGGTTTAACGCACACCTTCATTTTTTTTTTCGTAAAAACGACGCCCAATCAGCAAGAGATGCTGTCCACGTTATGGATTGATCAATTAATCACAATGGCTAGTCGGACAGTCATCCCAGAGCCAGATGAATTGTCAGCTACATTTCTGACGTAGATTTTGCCATCAACCCAGTGCGATGTCTTCTGCGCGCTGTTACTTTAACACGTCTGCCTCTGGTACAATATTCCAGCTGCAGCTGTTTGCCCCCACCGCTACGGCACCCCTCAGTATAGTCACCTGGAAAATGGTGTACTTGTACCGATTAACGATCGATGAAGAGAGAGGAAGAAAAAGGCATGTGCAAAAATACAAATACAGCTAGACAACGACGTGTAGGTATGATTCTGTGACTTTCAGGGAAAAAAAGAAAGAAAATGAAATGGTTTAACTGCGCAATAGTAACGACGATCATTACACAGAATAAGGTAGAAATAAAAAAAGAGAAATTGTCGCTCTCAGGGGCTGTGGGAATGCATGACGGGCTATGAGCCATATGCATTCAAATAAGGTCTACCTGTACACGCAGCCCAGCTGCGGAACAGCGCAGAGAGAGAGCTCGGCTTCTCCATGTTCCCCAGCAGCAGCGGGACTGCAGGAGAGCCAGCTCCGAGGCACCAGTACTCACATGTGAAACATTGCAGTGCGAGTCCAGTCCGAGCGAAGCTGCAGCCCTGTCCGTCTCGGCTGCGCACGCTGCAATGCCTACACTCGCTGGGCCTGGCTCACATTTATTTCGGCACTTTCAAAAAAGAAGAAGGAAAACAAAAGAAAATAAAAAAGGGGGAAAAATGAATTCCACTTACGATACCCCCTCCCCCCCACTGCAGCGACAGGCCTCGGCTTGACATCTCCCGTCTAGGGGTCAGAGTTCATTAGCAGACAACGAGACTGTGCGCTCGACAAGAAGGTAAGACAGCTGGAGGACTGAGGGGGGTACTGTTGTTGCGCATAGCTACCACTTAGTAGCGCCAGATCTCAATGTTTTAAAGTCCCATGAAAACCCTTCTTTCACAATTTGCTGCCACAATATTTCTTAAAATGAATATATTGACTTGTTCAACTATTACTCATGGATGCATTATAATTTTGTATTATCATAAATATATATACAAATAAATGGTCTTGTTTGAAATATCTTTTGAGATACCAAGACTAAATCAGACATGTTAAGAATACACAACCTCTTTGTGATCTACTAATAAACGTATTGCCGACACAATCGCCTATTGTGTGCGGGGAAACAAGACCGCTAACTGCGTGCAGTGCTGTACGCACATTTTTAGAAGAACTCATTCGTGTAAATGTTCACTATGCATCCTCCCACAGATTCCCTCCAGCTCAGCCCAAGTGGTTTTATGCAGAAGCCCTGGTATTCAGTGTGCGCTGTCAGGCACGCCGTCCTACAGCACGAGGGACACGACTTCAGATGTGATTTATTGAACTCAGGTGAACCAGGCAGTCCGGTGCAGCAGTCTTCTCCAACTCCTCCCTCCCGCTGTGCCGATGCAGTTAAGTATGCTCCTCCTTCTCCTTGATCTACTTACCACTCCCTTTGAGAAACAATCGATTGCAACATCACTTTATATGAGGAGCGCAGCTGGCAGCACACAGAAAGATGCAGCAGAGGTGATGCATACACTGGCCAGGAAGAGAACAGTACATTTGTCTAAACTGCGCTTATAGCGGGACTGTATATTACTATAGTCACGCAGTGATGTCTCAATAACTTTCAGAATCACAATTCTAGTGATTTTAAAGTGATGGATTCACTTTACACAATGTCATAATTACAAAATTACAGTGACTAATGATTAAAAGGTTGAACCCTTTTAAAATTAAAAACAACTGAAACAAATCATTCATAGATATTTTATTTAAAAAAAGATATATACTTTTAGAATACACAGACAAAAAACCAACAACCCTTTTAAATACAATCTAAAAGAAATGAACATTTGTTTCTTTTTTAATACTTGGCAATTTCATTTCTTTTAAAACAATCTCCTATCTATATATCCTACAATGAGAATGTAGCATCAACATGCATGCTAAGAACGAAGATGGATAATGTATGCTTGTGTTCATAATTAATATATATTTATATATATATATCTCTTTACTTTCTCAGGTCCTCATAAAAAAAATCTATGCATCCTTGAATGCATTTGAACCATGTGACGGAACAAGATGTTGCTAGGCGATGCTTTACTAGGCCCTTCCATTGGCCACTCCTTGACAAGCTCCTCCCAGTTGCTTTTCAGCCAATGAGGGTCTTTGTTCTCTGGCCCAGTTTGAACGGCCCCCCCCCAGCCCCTCTCCCCCAACCAATCAGGTGGAATCATCCAGGCTGGCACTCTTCCTGTCTGAGCCTGTGCTGCACAGTCTGTCCATGATGCCCTGGAGCCCAGGCTGCACTATGCCCAGCAAAGGCCTCTTTGAAGGGTCTCCATTCCAACAAGCTTCCATCAGCTGCCAGCACTCCTCGTCAAATGTGGGCAAGCGTTCTGGTCTTGCTCCTGTAAAGACACAAAAAGCAATATAAATGCTTAGGTGAAAGGAACACTGATTTCTTCCTTACTGGGGCTTCTTCTTTTCATACGAGTAAAGGACAGTTTCCAAGTGTCCCTATGAACTTTTCCTCACTCACTGCGCCCAAAGATACTGCCACCTACCAAGTACTGTGCTTGAGATTATACTAGAGATTGACTTCCCACTGGTCAACAACAATCCCAACCAGCAGCCAGAAAGAACCAGTTCTTCAACTCAACCCTTTCACCTTCATCAGATGAGGACTGGAGGGCTGAGGCATCATTCTCTTGCTCTCTGAAGAGGAACTGGCCTCTCTGGAGAGTTCAGGCTTCTCCAGGGCAATGGCCCACGGTTGGACACTCTCCTGCTCACCTTTCTTGACATTGTTCCAAAGTTGGTCCTTGCTGGAGCACTTCTCAAAAGCCTCTGGCAACTTCACTGAGCCCGTGCACAGGTACCAGAACAGGATCCCAAAGGCATAGACATCCACAGAGTTGTCGTACTTCCCTGAAATGCAGAGTGGCTTTGAGCGCAGGCACCCCACAGTGCTAGAGAGCCAAGCCCCTTCTCATTGAGAGATGAGATTAAGAGCTCAGCTGGTGTTCAACACAATTATTGTCTTCAGACTAGATTAGCATAAGGATCTCAAGACCGAATGATTGTGAAAGCTTGCCCACTTTGTGACCTTATCAAGTCTCCCACTGATGCAGAATGCCACCTGTATTCTTTACATTTGCTTCAGTAAAAGAGGACCTCATGTGCCAGTTTGCAAGTTCTATAAGAGCTCAGCCTGGGAAGCCAGAAAAGGCCAGCAGGCTGTGTGGGTGGCACAAACTAACCTGTGAAGAGCTCTGGCGCCATGTGGATGGGGGTGCCCACGATGCTGCCTGACATCATGGCCTCAGGCTTACAGAAACCCAGATCCGTGATTTTTGCTCGGTTCTGCTTGTCAAGCTAAAGGAGAGGGAGTGATGATGAGTGTCCTTTTCCACACCATTATTTAAAATCAGCAGTGTGCACAAGCACCTCCATTTGACCCTGAACAAGAAGTCTGTTTCACAAGAGATCAAGTAGTGTTTTAACAGCAGCCGTCTTAACACTTTCTAACTGTTTATGGTACATATCGAAACTATTGGCAAGCTTTTCTAATAAAATTTATTGAATGCGTTTGTGTGGATTCTGGAAAGACACAAGTACAATTGAAACGTTCATTTTACCAAAACCTGCTGTCAAAAACAGTAAGAGGGAGGCGCAGAAATAAAGACATCCAGAGACTTGTGTTCGATCTCACACATTGCCCCTACTTATAAAGCTCCTCCATGTCCAGCTGGGTTCCTCTTGGATATGATCATTTTAAGAGCCAGCATGTTATAATATGACTGCACCAGATTTGTATCTGTTATTGGCTTATGAGCTCCATATAATTCAATCATATTATAATCATATGACTTTGCATGAATTTCTTACATGCTATGAGAAGGGCAGGCAGCCGCATTTCCAGATCAAAGCAGTTCAACAACTGAACAGTTGCGAACAGAAAAATGTTTTGTAAGTCTTGGATTAAAGGCTTAAGAAACATGGAAATTTAACAAATCACAGATTAATTTAATTTTTCTTTCTAATTAAAACTGAACAGATTTTTAATCATTTAAATTTGAGACACTAGCTGCATTTGATATTTTTGTGGCATGACTTTGATCGAGTTAAACCATTAAATACTCAAAACAGAAGTACTGAAACCATGTTAAATTAAATTTAATAAATGAACTGCAGAGACTCCACAGTTCCACAATCCTCTAGAATGAAAAACAACATTAGAGCTTCCAGTCTGTATCCGACAGCAATTTCTAAATTGACCCCTTGCCTCTGAAGCTGGGACTAATGATTGGTTCTTTCTGAGGGAGTGCTGAGACCAGTTCAGAGAGTCTGGCTAAGGAAAACAAGCCCAGTTACACACAGCACTGCACGGGACTCCAGGTCCTGATCAAGGACAACATCCTGCTTTTCTAATTGCACTTTAAACAGTGATGGAAAAAAGTTAGTGTCACTGGCTGAGGAACTGACCTCTCTTCCCTCCTCTGTAGTTGTCTCACGCTCTCTCCCTCTGTCCCTTAGAGGAACAAGACTCCAGCGGAACCCAATTCAGTCAAAAAGCACAAAAGCACTGACACCGGCAACCAACTGGCTGCTTCAGAATCAGAGATGAAACACAACTGAAGCTGTGCACAAGTATGGGAAGTGCAATTTAAACTCAGAACCTCTTTTACCACAAAGCGCTGCTGGACTATGGAACGAGTTACTCAGCCTTACTGCCGAAGCGGATACCCTAGCTTCTATCTGGGAAACACCTCGATGAGATCTTTGGATCATTTAGCTGCTAAAACTAAAATGAGCAGGATGAGAAGAATGGCCTCCTCTTTGTAAACACTTGGTTGTACCTCTCCCCTCTCTTACCAGCACGTTCTTCAGCTTGATGTCGCGGTGCAGCAGCCCCTGACTGTGTAGGAAGCGGATCCCCTCCACCACGTCCAGGGCGATCTGCAGCCTTTCCCTCAGAGACAGGCCCGCCTGTGGGGAGCGAGATAGGGAATGAGAGGAGGAAAAAGAAGAAGAGAGGGACTGAAAAGGAAAGTAAACGAGGCAAGAGGGAAGCAAGACCATAGCAAAAAAACCTGAATTGACTTTCCTGTGTCAGACTTGGAGATATTTCACCTTCAAATGTGTTTGTCTCTTTCTGATCGTTACTGTTTCTCTGTTACTGTAAATTATACTATTGC